ACACACACACAGTTATGCTACCATCACCACTAATTCCAAATCATTGGTTACATTCTGACTTGAATCTTTTAATGAAATATCAACTAAAGGTTTACTCGGATTTTCACAAAATGTATTATATATAACACTTTGGTCTTCTTTGTAGAGGAAGTGGCAGTTTTTATTCAAGTGTCAGTTTTAAAAACAGAATCAGGAGGGGACATTTAATTGTTTCTTGATTTCTTTTCTGTCTGCTACTGATGCTTTTGACCTCTTTGGGACTGAGGTTGGGGCTGATTACCATGCTTGGTTAGACCATAAAGAATATTCCAAGCAGGGGCATTCAGATTGCCTGCCTCTTTCTTCTCTTGCTCTTCTTTGTCTAGTCATGCTCCTGAGGGCAGGACTTGGGCCAGTTTTGTTTTTTTCCAGGACCGTCGGGGCTCAGCAAAGATTGATGAATCAATACACTGTGTTGGTTGCCCAGGGGCAGTCATGTGTGACATTTACTACTCCTGGTGGTCCCTTGACTTGGTGGATGAGCAGAAAACTTATTCATGTATCTGAGATATAACTGCTTCTAGAAAGTGAGAGTTTGACTTCCTTCCTTGTGGTTCTAGGGACAGACCTAGTTTTCTGACGACAGACCCGCCATCTCTAGCTCCCAGGAACTCTCATCTGACTGCAAACTGGATTTTTGAGTTGGTTTTGCGAGGCACAGTGTAGGTGGTGAGATTGTGTCTTTGACTGTGCATCTATTTGCACGTGCATGCTTGTCTAATCACCCAAGGGAACCATGAGGAATTCCTCTATGTTTTTTTATAAATTGCCCCTTTCTTTTCCCTGCCCTTACAGTTTGTTGGTAGGCCAGGGTGCAGGGGGCCTCCGGCCTGCGCACATGACCCAGGCATGCTGGCCTTCAGTGGTCTATTGTTCCTGCCCCTTATGTGCATGTACAGAGGACTGGGGCTGGCACAGCTGGCTTCTTGGGGACCATTGTTTGTCTTAGCAGCAATGTTAGCAACGGCAGCAGCAGCTATAGCAGCAGCGGCTGCAAGAGCCCAGAGTAACACATTTTGCCCCGGACACAGCAGCCATTCTGTCTTGGAGCTGCAAGTTGGAGATCGGGGAGGTTGGAGTCTCCCCACAGTGTCTGTGTGGTTACTCTGAGTATGGGAGCCAGGGAGGCTTCTCCTTCCTGGCAGCTTGTTGGGGAGGGCTAATGCCCAAGTAAACCACAGTGGCAGGGGGGGGGATCAATTAGCAGACTTGTTTTTCTGGGCCAGGGTGGGGATATCACTTTCTCTGTCCTTTGGGCTCAAAGGACAAGAAAAGTACTTTCTCTAAAGTTACTCTGTAGTGTAGCTCTAGGAAGCAGAGAAAGGACCCATCCTTTCTTGACTCATGAGCTAATTGGAAGTCAGTGGGCTAGTCCACACTTGACTCTGGGGACTGAATCACCCAGAGCTCCAAGGTAGAAAGGGGGTGTTCCTGGGTGGGACACCTAGTTACTGGGATGGACCCAAAGATGCCTCTAGAGGCTGAACTCATGTTCAGCTTGCTTTGTTTCCCTGCCCTGCCGTCAACCTCTTTGGCAATTCAGGCTAACTTTAATTTAGCATCAGTGCCCTTGCACCTAATTGTGTGACCCTTGGGTCAATTATTTAATTATCTCTTCTGCGTAGTAAGGATAATTGGGATCATGGACTATCTGTGAGGATTAAATGTAATGGTGTGCCCAGGGTTTGCAAGAGGTGTTTAGCAGCACATGTTTCGTGTGCCCCCAGGTGCCAAGAGTGGGATGCTTGTGTGCTGCGCAGCCCACCCGCCCAGGCACCTGAGAAAGGCTGGGGTAGAATCTTGTGCTGGGGGTTGAGCTGGGGGTTTTGTCAAAGAGGTCTCCTTTGAAGTGCTCCTACCTTGGACAGGACAGTCCTAGAGGGGCCTAGCTCTGGACCGCTGTGGAAGTTACGGGGATTGCTTTGCCACCTATTTTTGTTGGGAGGTGGAGGTCATCCATTCTAGCTTGTTCCTTTCTGCTCCCGGGCTTAGTGAGATGATGAGGCAGCCTTACGTGCGTATCAAGTGCTAGCCCCTTGCATACTGCAGCTGCCTCCTACCTCTAGAGTTACTTGCAGGGGACTCCTGAAGGCCTTCTCTAAGGGACAAGTTGTCAGTGAGCTCCATGAGTGTCTTCATGTCCTCTTCACCCACACACTACCAGCTTTTCATCAATAGAAGGGGGTAGATGCCTCCGTGAATAGTGTTGACAAGGGCTGTTGCCTTTAAGAGTCCCAGAAACCGCTGACAAGAACCAGACACCTGACATGCCCTCTGCACATCTTCCCCCCAGCACCCTTGTAATCAGATTCCAAAAAACACAGAACAAGAGAGCTTTGACGAGTGATGAGCTAGGAGTTTTTCTGTGCCGTCTTGTCTGCTTGCAACAATCTCCTAGTGCTCAGTTTCAGTTCAGGTGAGGTTGCCGCAAGCCTGGTTGGCACTGGTGGTTGGCATGGGGGAGACATGGGCACAAAGAGGGTAAGAACTGCACCTACAGGTCACCTGAGATCACCCATGCAAGGCCAGAGAGTTGTGCCATATTCTCATAGATGTAAAAACAAATAAAAATAAAGATGGGGATCAGTTATGGGCACCCCCCGTTCACCCTTCCCCCAGCTACTCCAAGGTAAAACCAAGTATACCATTTATTGGCCCACCCTTCACTGGTTTATAAAGGGCTGTTTGGCAGATCTTTTAGCATCACAGGCCCAATCTGAGATTTACTTATGATTTATCCACAGCTCATGACTGCACAGTCAAGTCAGAGAGCGTGACTCCAGTTGTAGTGTCAGGAGTGAATTTGAAGTATGCCTAAGGAGGCATGATGGCGTATTGCAGGTGCCCCTTTTCCCCCAGGGATTGGAGTGACTGACACATCTTTTTTTTTATTTTAGATTTATTTATTTATGCAGACAGAGCTGGGGTACAGGCCAGAGGTGCAGGGACGGTAAGATGAGTCACCAGAGACAGAGTGGGGAGCAGAACAGGCCGGCTGACAAAGTATACTGCTGAGGGGAGCAGCGCGCGGGTGAGGAGAGGTCTGCCGCACCATGTGCGTCACCTCCAGGGCCAGGGATCAAACTCATGCTGAAGTGGCTTTAGCTTCTTAGTGCTGTGCTTTAACCTGCTGCGCCACCAGGAAGGGCCCAGATTTATTTATTTTTTATACAGAATTGGGGTACAGGCAGAGGTACAGGGGTGGTGACCGGATCCACCAGAGACAGTGGGGAGCAGAACAGGAAGACTGGCAAAGTACACTGCTGAAGGGAGCAGTGGGCAGGTCATAAGAGGTCTACCATGCCAAATGCTGGGCCTGGGGATTGAACTCACACGGTGAAGTGGCTGTGTCTAGCTTGCAATACTGCACTTTAACCCACAGCACCAGCAGGGAGGGCCTTTTTTTTTTTTTTTGTTAAGATTTATTTATTTATGCATATAAGAACTGGGGTACAGGCCAGAGGTGCGGTGGGTGAGAGACAGCGAAGAGCAGAACAAGCAGATTCACTGAAATATACTGCTGAGGGGAGCAGCGGACTAGTCAGGAGAGGTCTACCACACCATGTGGGTCACCTCCCTGGCCAGGGATCAAACTCATGCTGCAGTGGCTGCAGAGAGCATCATGGTGCTGCACTTTAACCCATTGTGCCACCTGAGAGGGCCCACTGTCATGTCCTAATACACACACCTTGGAACAGCGCAGAATTGTAGGGAAAGGGATGAAAGAAGTGACTGTTCTCACTCAGAAGGGGACCGCAAGCCTTTTCTGAGCCGAAAAGCAGCCTGACCTTGGCAGACTGTTTCCTGTGGGTGCCAGGAGTCTGGTCAGTAACAAGAGTGGTTTCACATTTGAGGCCGATCTGGCCACACCTGGAATGACCATTGCTTTCACTACAGAGACAAGGGCCTTGCCAGCCCAGTGTGAGGACTGGGATCATCATACATCTGCCACTCTAGGACTTAACCAGAAATGCCTCTAACTCAGAGACTGAGTTTTAGGAAGATTAAAGCAATAGAGATGTGAATGAATTTGCTGGTGAAGCAATGTACTTTTCAGAGACTGATTTATGTTGTGATGTTGTAAACTAGAGAATCTGCTGGCAGTGAATGATGTCACTTAGAAGTTCTGCTGCACATTCCATTCCTGGTTGCCACTGTTCAACCATAGTTAGGGTCCTTGGTATCTCCTTTAAAATATCCTGACCTTTGGGCCTCCCTGGTGGTGCAGGGGTCCAATTCAAAACTATGAAACTGTTGCCAGCCACTGCGGCATGAGTTCGATCCCCAGCCAGGGAGCTGACCCACATGGTTCAGCAGACCGCTCCTGTCTCATCCACTGCTCCCCTCAGCAGTATACTTGAGTCAGTGTGCCTGTTCTGCTCCTTACTGTATCTCCAGTGAATCCTCTCACTCCCCCATCTCTGGCCTGTACCCCAGTTCTTGTTTGCATAAATAAATAAGCCTTTTTAAAAATCCCGAACTTCACCCTACATTGTGAAAATACTGAAAATGATGGGAAAAGCATAAAAAGTAAGAGCTTGCACTCTAAAGCAGCCTAGATTTGGATCTCTACCACTCATAGCGCGACTTTTATGTGGGGATGCCTCAAAAGATGGTGGGACAGAATTCATTAGGTTCTCTGCCAGAAGAGAGTCCAGACTCTGGCACTGCCAGGAAAAACAGTAAATTGATTAATAAGTGGCGGCTCTGAATAATACTGAGTCTGACAAACAGTTTCTCTAAGTGATCCAGCAGGTTCCTGCTTCAGATATTCCTTGATGGTCTGACAGGAGTTGGTGGAGTTTTGCCTCCTTCCATACGACAGGGTTAGGCTTGGGGGGTTCTGTTTTTAGTTAAAGACTTTAAATCCCCAGAGGTCGGGGAATAATTAAATGGAAGAAAACGGCATGTTGGGTTTTATCTTCGGGCTGTCCGTCAGACTGTCCTTTGTTTTGTTGCAGAGATCCGCGCTCAGCTCACAGAGCAGATGAAATGCCTGGACCAGCAGTGTGAGCTCCGGGTGCAGCTGCTGCAGGACCTCCAGGACTTCTTCCGGAAGAAGGCCGAGATTGAGATGGACTACTCCCGCAACCTGGAGAAGCTGGCGGAGCGCTTTCTGGCCAAGACACGCAGCACCAAGGACCAGCAATTCAAGTAGGGCTCTAGCTGCTGTTCTGAGAGAATTTGGGGGTGGGGTATGGGATGGTGCATGGTGGGAGTGCTATGTCGACCAGTTGGATTCATGAAATAGGTAAACCAGAAATTTCAAATTGGCTGAGGGCTGAGAACTTCAAGGATTTTTCCTTTTCCAGATCAGTTTTACGTCCTGGAAAGGTCAGAAGGGTTGAACCATGCTAATAGATTTTCATAGCTTTCTTCCTGTGTGCCACACGTGGTTTGAAGGACTTTACACACACGTGAACTCAATCTCTGCAACTCTGTTGATTGTTATTATTGAAACCTCTAATCTAGTGATGAAGAAAATTAGTCACAAGTTCAGGAGCTTGCCTAAGAATACACACACGCGTAACTATATAACGGAGTTGGAATCAAACCCAGGTGGTAGAGCTCTGGCATCTGTGCTCTTAACCATTTCACCAAACCTCATTAACCAGAAAATATCAATGAGTTGTAGCCATGCATCTGAACCTCTGGCCAGGCAGCTGCTAAGGTCTTTCTAATGCATTTACAGTATATTTTGCAAATGACTCCTTGACTCTGTTTTCACTGCCATTGCCCTAGAGTAGCTCATCGTTGCCTGAAGGATTGCATGCTACATTTCATCTGTAGTAGAGGTTGCACATTAGAAATCCCTGGAGAACTTCTTAAGAATGCTAAAATCTGGGCCCCACTCCAGACCAATTAAACCAGACACTCCCAAGAATAGGGTCTGAGAAATAGGATGGTATAAACGTCTCAGATGATTGTAACAAACCAGCACAGCTGTGAATCACAGTCTACTCCCATTCCAACCTGCCTCATCCAACATGTGCAGTTCAGTCTCTGTGGAACGCGCTGGGGACCAGGCAGGGTGTCAGTGCAGCGGCTTCCCAGTGTCTCTGCTTTCAATATTTAAGGTGTGGCCTCCCAATATCAGCAGCATCTGGCTTAGTAGAGCTACAACATCTCAGTTCCCACCCCGGGGCCACTGGTTTGCCCCAGGTGTTGTGTGTACACATTAAAGTTGGAGAAATGCTGCTCTGTCCACAAAGGTGGACACCCCCTGGCTTGTCTTCAAGTCCCTCTGAATAGCTTTTCAACCTTACTTCCTGGTTCTGCTCCACGATGCCTTAGGGAAACAGAGTGTTCACTCCCACAGCCTTTGTTCACCTATTATTGGAGTTTATATCCTCATTACTCTACATGCTTAAGAGATACCCATTTTTAAGACCCATCTCAGATTCTCCCTGTTCCAAACTTATCTGAGCCACACTCCCCTCCCCAAAAGAATGTTCTTCCTATTCTGATTTCTTACAGCATTTTATGTATTCTTTTATTAGGCCTTCAGCACTGCTTGCCTTAGATGATCTTCCTGTAGGGAGATTGATTCATCCTTGAGCCTCCCACAGTGCCTAGCATAGTGTGTGGTATATAGTTGGATGATATATTGTTGGGTGAATAGATGAATGGATGAATGTAAGACTCAGTGCTAAGCATATATTATTTCCCCTTATTTTCAGCTTTTGTTTTTTTGCCTAATATTTTAGGACACAAATTATCCTTTACAAGCCAACTCTGAGCAATGAATATGAAGGTTAAGATTGAGAACATATGACACTCTCAATATAAACCAGAACAAGCATTTCCTCCAGATGTTTTGTCCTCAGAGTCCCTTATCTTTACCAAATTCTGTTCTTTTTATGATAAGCAATCTGGAGATAATAGGATGTTATTTTAGTATGTGATAAATGAAGATTTGAGGGAGGAATCATTTGCTTTAGAAAAACGACTCAAATTTGGATTTATCTGCTGGCAAGCTCCTCCTAAGTTTAAAATACCATTTGATTTTTAGTACTTTATAATATTCTCAGCGAAAGGACATACTTACTACAAATTAAGATACAGATATGCTAATCTTGAAGTCATCTGTATTGAAAGACTTAAGAAAGGTTGTTTTTTTTGTTTGTTTGTTTGTTTGTTTGTTTGTTTTTGTATCCCTAAGGGACTATATCTAGTTGGGAAGAAAAATCTCTTTAGTACAGGAAACAATTAGAGGATAAAGCAATAATGGTCTCAGTAAGAGAGTATTGGTTTTATGTAGCCAATACATGTGGTAAGAGTTCAGAGATAAGTCATCAAAGATAGATAAAGCATCTGAAATAGACATGTTTTCATGAGGTAAGTAGGAATTGGGTTAGATTTTATAGGTAGATCTGTATAGGGGAGACCCCTAGGTGAGAAGAAGCCGAAATGCTTGCTGGGGAGGGGCAGAGGGCTGGTGAAGGATCCTTAGTAACCATCATTCTAATTTAATTCATAGTTTAATCTTCATTAAAAAAGAGCATTCCTTCATTCTTTCAACAAATATCTTTCACACGTTCCCTGAACTCCTTGAGGGCAGTCATAGTGCCTTGGGACATAGCAGGGAATGAGCACCGCCTCTTCCATGGTGTCACCTTTGGGGTGAGGACACAAGCAAATACTCAGGAACCAAGTATAAGGTGCTACGAGCACTTGGAAGAGGGGGCCTGCCCCAGTCCTTTGCCTTCCATTTATGCCGGCTTACTTTAATACCTTCCTGTCTGATCTTAGCCTGAATAAAAATATACATAGTCAACATCCCCCGACCCCCTTTTCTAAAGATTTATTTATTTTTATGCATACAAGAACTGGGGTACAGGTGAGAGGTGTGGTGGGTGAGAGAATACATCAGACACAGAGTGGGGAGCAGAACAGGCAGGTGTACTAAAACACACTGCTGAGGGGAGCAGCAGTGGAACAGGAAAGGTCTGCTACGCCACGTGGGTCAGTTCCCTGGTGGGGAATTGAACTCGCGCTGCACTTTAACTCATTCTGCCACCAAGTAGGGCCCTCAACAATCCCCTTTTAAGTACCTACTGGATGTTGTGCTCTGTGCTATTCCGGAGCTCTTGACTAGCAGGGAAGAGAGAGATGTAAACAATATAGTATGCTGAACTTCAGTAGAGTTATGAGCAAAATGGTGTGAGAACACAGATATTTTCAAAAGTAAAGTTAGATGAGTAGACACCAGATGATAGGTCTTTGGCAGAGTTGTTCACATTTGGTGCAGTGCTGCGGGAAGGAGCCCTTTGGGTCTCATGTGGGAAGAGAGACATAAGGAAAATGTTGAGCAATTAATTTTTCTCAAGAGAAATCAAGATGGAGGTATTGTGGGGTCATCATTATACAATGTGTTAGCAAAAAAGAATAGAGGGGAAGGATTGTATTCAAGAGGCCTGTTCAAAAGCAAGGACTGGGTAGCCAAGTAAAGAACCACAATGGTCAGAGGTGGCAGATAACCTCCTTCTGGGGCCTAGAGGAGAGGTGGTCATGAGGAAGGAAGATCTGTCTTGAGTGACCAGCCTACTTAAGCCTCTTGATCTGAGGGCAGCAAGAGACTGTGAGGCCTCCGAGTAGAGATAGTGTACCGAGGTACAGCTGGGCAGAAAGAGAACTTTCAGCATAAAAATGACTGTGGAAGGTGTGAAAGTAGATGAATTTGTGGAAGAGAAGAGAAGACCAGAGTTAGATCCAAAACCCAGTGTTAGGGAAAAATGAAAGTCACTACTAGAAAGAAAAGTCATCAGAAGAGAGAAGTGGAGAAGGGAGTGAGAAAGAGAGAGAGAAGAAATAAAGGAAAGAGAGAGGGAAAGATTTTTCTGTAAGCAGTTGAATAAGTGACGGCGTAAGAGAGAATAGTGATGTCTGTTGGAACTAGAAATCTTTTATATAGAATATCTATAAAGTTAACCCCAGCCATTTCTTTCTGATACTCCCCCTAACACAAGGCAGATAAGACATGCAGAGAAGGCTGAAATGCAGCCCAAACCCAAGAGCTTTCAGTTGATTAAAACATAGGAAACTGCTGTTTTGCTCTAAGTAAAAAATGGCCACATTGTGGCAGTTAACTACAGCACAGCATGATAGGAGAGAATGTGAAGCAAACACACCAGTATCCTTATTGCAGGCAAGATTGTAAGGTGCCCAGGAAGGAAGTCCAGGCCACATTCTACTTTCATGCAGAGTTTATTCTAAAATGCACAGGAAGTCAAAGGGTTGACTATAACTACACTGTTGCATGGAGAAGTAGTTTCTGTTACTACAAGTACATGTACCTTCTGAGTTAGACATCACCTGACTTTGTTTTAGCTCTGTGTCTCTTGTCTTTAATTTTCCTCTTTTCGTCACAATTAAACTCACCATCTGCCTGCACAGCCCAATAAGCTCCTGAAAAGTAGACATAACTGATGATCTCTACCACGAATACAATGGTGAGCCCTCTGCTTCTCAGTGCAACACTAGCCCCAGCAGCTCCCTCATTCCACTTCCTACTCATTTCTGTATTGCAAATGGGAACCAAATACTCGGATTTGGGCCTCATAAGCATCCGTGCAGCTGAAATTGAGCAGTGCTGAGAAGCAGCACCAAGTCAAGCTTGAAACAGTTTTTAGCAGCTGCAAAATCTACATTTTGGGCACAGGAAAGGCTCTTTAGGCAGGTCTGTTTTGGTTAGGATATAAGTTTGGCTGCTCTCACAGACTTCAAATTATATAGCTTACACAGAGTAGAGGCTGATTTCTCTCTAGTGTGACCTTCTGGGTGTAGCCATCTAGCGCTGTGCCAGGCCCCTTATTTCACCCCTCAGTGCTGCCATTGTCTGTGTGACCCAAGAGTCGCCACTGGGTTTCTGTCCTGGCTAGTGGGAAAGGCCACAGGGCAAGGGGCAGGAACATCTTTGCTCTGTAAAAGTACAGTCTTGAAGTGGTACATACATCTTTCGAACTCACATCTGATGAGCCAAAACTTTGTCATACAGGCATACAGCAGTGAGAAGTGTAGTTAATATTTTCTGGGTGACCAGAAGGTAAAATGTCTTGTGGAAGCAAGGGAGACCTGGTAGAGGTCAGTTAGCAGCCCTGCAGACTGTACCGTGTGTGAGAGGGCAGCTGAATGAAACACCATGGCCTCCCACC